ACTACAATATAATAATAACTATATAGCAATTATTGTATATTATATACATATTATTATTTCCACTTAAAAAAGTTTTTATTAGTCCTCTTGTAAAGTAAAAGTTTTATCTTGAAAGGTAAATATTAAACTGATAATTAAACTCAATACATGTTTGCTCACACTGGAAGAAGCAGTTTTCACAGTCTGAATTTCTAAAGTTTCCTTTTTTAAAAAGAATTATTTATTTAATTATATTTATCATTATTATTATGTTTTAAAGAATTATTTTATTTAACTTTATTGATTTATTTTAATTTGATCAAAGAGGGACAGATAGGAAGAAAGCGAAAAAGTAAGCCACCAGGTCCAGGACTCAAACCGTGGTCAGCCAGCACCCTTAACCACCATGCCACCTGCCAGCCCCCTAATTATTATTTTTTAATTTGCTACAGGGCAGTGAACTTACCAGAGAGAGACAGAGGGAAAGTGAGAAAACAATCTGCCAGGTCCAAGATTCCAACTGGTCAGTGCCTTGACCACCACACCACCTGCTAGCCCTGACTTTCTAAAGTTTTCTATGCTGGTCTCAAGGAGTTTGACCTGGTACTAGAGCAACTAGGAATGGTCACTTGACATGGTAGTGCAGGCTTCTACCAGCAACATAAATAAGTTGAGCCGTGTGCAATAACTAAGTTTATTCAGTATGGAAGGTGACTTACAGCAGTTATTTTTCATTGTTTCCTTTTTTGCTTTTGCTTATTTATTCATTTATTTATTTTCATACAGGGTTTTACTATGTCCCAGGTGTCTTCTATCAGTCTTTTATTTAAGAATTATTTTATTTAACTTTATTTATGTATTTATTTATTTAAATTTGACCAGAAAGGGACTGAATGAGAGAAAGAGAGAGAGAGAGAAGGAAACTGAGAAAGCAAGCCACCAAGTCAGGAACTGAACCACCATCAGTCATGAGAGAGTCCAGTGCCCTTAGCCACCACACCACCTGCCGGCCCCTATCAGTCTTTCAAAAGCATGCTGGCTTTTAGGTGGCCCAGAATCGAATGTGAGCCTCTCTTGTGACTTCAGTCTGCTGAGTAGCAACGTATACTGGTGCACACCACCATGGCTAGACTGGTTGTTGCTTTTCTTATCTGAAGTTTATGGATATTCATGTGATTTCCACCTGGCCTTCTAGGGAACACTGTCACTGTACTGGATGTTTCTGCAAATACAGACAATACATTAGACATGGACTTTCCCTCAAGAATCAAGACAGATAAACATAAAATTAACATAAAATATATTCACATATTTAGGTGCAAACATATTGACGGAAGTATGTATTCAAAAATGTGATTGTAAAGCACAGGTATTGATAGTCTGATGGCCTAACATTTGAGTTGTTGTACAGTAGCATTCCTTTTTATTTTCTTTCTTAAATTGCCAGAGGCTATGTGCATTCATCAGAGAGAGAGAGAGAGAAAGAGAAAGTCAGAGAGAGGGAGAAACACTCCCTTGGGATGTGGTCATACCACAATCCTTTCTC